ATTTTATCATATACTTTTATGACGGCGGTGGATAACATAACGTGTTTATCCGGCGCAGCCGCCGTCGCTGCGACTGTACTGTGTGCTGTGACTGGTATGATTTCGTTATCGGAACGACTTGTGTTACTATTATCGTTACCCGCGGCTGTCATCGTATTACTTTTATTCTCTTCACCGTCTTTGCTCGCATTTAAATGTAGCATCGTGTTGTGAGCTTTATGGCACTTGAAACATTTTTTACCAAGACATTTTTTGTCATTGTGTGGACGCATACATATTTTGCACAACTTTAGTGCATTTACTTTATTTATTCTGTCGGGTACTGATAATGCTAGGAATGCAGGGCACTTATAAATAGTATGTGGTAAATTACAATTGTAACATTTGGTCATATCGGTAGCCGCGAATGAATAATACGTTTTCTCCTTGGGATAACCTTTATTGATTTTCTTATTTCCCTTCGAATCCGAGCTTTCTTTGATATTCATTTGTGATACCGATTCAACAGCTTCTACTATTTTAAAACGTTTTTCTAAAAATTGTATCAGTACTTGAATTGGTGGTATTTCGTCTTTCGGTGCAATTGTTTCCCATGCTTTTATGGTGCTAATATCTAATTTGCTCGTAATTAAATGAATTAACATGGATCCCCACCCACGAGGATTTTCTCCCAAGGACTCCAAAGCGTTGATATGACAATTTAATTTATCAATTAATTTTCGTAATTGTTTGGATTCTTCGTTTATCACTGATAATTCGTACAAGCCTCTAGTATGTGATTGAATAAGCACCTTTTTATTGTTATACCTGGCAATCAAACTTTCCCAAGCGATACTGTAATTGGCGGCGGTCGTCTCTATGCCTTGTATGACTTGAGCCGCTTCACCCGATAACGATGCGCGCAAATGGAAAAACCGTTGAATGTCGCTTATTCGATCATTTTTGTGTACCATTACTCCAAAAATATCGTAATATGTAGGCCATTCACTATATATACCTGAAAATGTCGGTAGACTTATCGCCGCTAGTTGTATTGGTGCATTGGAATTATTGCAACAAAATCCCCCACCACTACTTGCCGTCATCTGTGGAGCCGGAACAAGCATGTTACTATTACGCATAACGTCGGTGTTACCTTGACTTTCGATTTGCTCATTATTTCTGTCATACATTAAATCATCGCATAATGAAATGGCATTAAAATATGCATTCTCGAATTCCATGCGGTAGTTCGTTGTTTCTTCATCTTCTTCATCATTCAGTAACAGCTCGATTGCACTTTGTACCTGTTCAAACTCTTGCCAAACATCCTCGTTCTTTTCCCGACGGCACCTCAATTCTGTCCGATTTATTTCCACATTTTTGTCAACATTTGACAGGTGATTTATAAATCTTGTTAGCTTGGCCTTTAATTGGCCTCTACGGGATTTCAAGGCACCTAACTCGGGCATGTCCCCCAGACTTATATTATATTATATTATTTTTTTTTTTTTTAATTAGTTTATTTTAGGAAGGAGTGGATTTAAGATAATATTATGGACACGACTTACCAGATTTTTCCTCCTTTGAAGTTGGATTGGTATGTCCAATATTGTTCTCCTTCCGCGACAACCTTACCGTTATTCTGATATACGAATGGATTAACGGTTGATTAATTTTATTTGAATATTTCACGCACGCACTTATTTTACACACGTTTTATCTTTAATAAATACTGTGCGAATTTTAATTTTGACTGCCATTCACGAATATCGCCGATTCCTTTTATCCGGCCCGAAGGACCAATGTTAAATTACGAATTTTAATTTGTGGACTGTATGAGATTTGTTTTAGTATAAGAATATTATAATACAGTTGGTTTATTTGGTATTAATATATATTTATTTACGTGGCGATTGGCAGTCGAACGCATACTGACACTAGACTTCTTATGTTATTAGACATTACATAGTGCTCACTATCGCGAGCGATAATACGACAAAGTCCGGTTTACAATGGCAGATAAAATATACGCGTCAACACTTGGCCTTGTCCTAATATTTTTTCCAACTACATGAGTTAAAAAACTCTTCAACACCTAACTTAGTGCCGTTCTTACAAAGTCCGGTTAAAGTTAACCTACATTTTACCTGACATTGACACATTGTAAGAACGGCCCTTAGAGTTTTTAATGCCGAACGTACTTTCTCGAGCCTCATATTTTTTTGGTTGGTTTTCGATTTTTTTATTTTTTTTGTTCCGTATGCAATCTTTGCACTATCGGCTCCAACCTAGAGTTTAAAAAGCGCCCATATTGATTATTGTTGTATGTCCTACCAAGACAATGTTTGAGGTGATTGTTCCACGATTCACATATATTATTAGTTCTGTTGGTTATTGAAAGAGGCTTCGAAGAAATTCCACGTTTTTGGTAGAAATAAGGGCTTAGTTTTTCTTAATTTTATATTCATACCAGCACCGCAATAACTCTCTTATACGATTATACGAACCATTTACATTTGTGATGTCGGAGTAATTTAATAATTCATTCACTTTAGGGATATTTGTTTGTTTTAAAAACTCCATTCCTTCGTAGACCCCGTTCAGGGAAAAAAATACCAGACTATCAATCATAGAATAAAAATTACTTAATTTGTCATCATTTGTATGCATTGTTATTTGTTTGTAAACCTAACTATACCTAGTATAGGCGTGACTAGACTTCATCGGCAGGGGCATCCTAACTAATGATCGTCGCTACCTTATTAGTGAACCGAAAAAAGCCCTATACACTCAAAGACGTTTTTTTTAAGCCCCCCCTCCACAATGAAATATTTATATAATTTAAAAAAGTCTAAATTATGTATTTACAATAATAATCTACAGTGACTTCAGAAATATTATTCATCCAAGGGGATCAAAATGCCGGAAAATTTCCGGAATAATTAAGAAAAAAACCGAATTTTTGGAAAATTAAAAAATCGTATTTACGATTAAAAACTAAAATAATCTATGTAGAAAAAAAATAAATAAATAAGGAAAAATGTCATTGTCATTTCACATTTTTCAATAAATTATATCAATGTATTAGGTATTGTATTAAAATTTAAACTATTAAAAATATTAATACTGATATTTCAATATTTGTTCTAAAAATAACGTAGTTACATCTCAAATTGGTATTTATGTGGGAGGGTGTATTTCCCCGAAAATAAATCACCTGTAATTAATATTACTTGTAAGTTGTAGAAAATATATGTATAGACAGCTCACGATTTACAAATGAGTAATGACAGTATTAATTAATAATTACCTATTAGAAAAATACATAACAACAAAACATAATTTGCGGAAATGCGGGAAATGATAATATATTTTTATACTACCTATTATAAATTATTTATTATTATTTTTCAGGAAATTTTAAATGAAACCAAATTTTCCCATTTTTTCCGAAAAAACTGTGAAAAAACCCGGGTTTTTTTCGGAAATTTCTATCCCTATTCATCTACAGACTTAGATTACACCACCTAGCTACAAATCAAACATAATACAACAATATTGGTCCTGATGGTGTGCCTCCTATTTTATTAATGGAGTGTAAAATTATTATTACTAAACCACTTCACAAACCTTTCCAATATATTGGAAAAAATAGTATATTTTTCTTGTTTTCAAAAGTGCTGATTAAAGTAATGTTAGTAACTATAGACCGATTTCTAAATTGTCAATTATCCCAAAACTATTTGAGTCTATTATTACTAAAAAGCTATCTAAATTATTGTCCAATTATATCTGTCCCAGCCAACATGGTTTTCGGCCTAAAAAATCCGTTTTCACAAACTTACTAATTTATCACACTGATTTAATATCATCTATAGAAAACGGATGTCAAATAGGTACGGTTTATACCGATTTTAGTAAAGCTTTTGATACAGTTAATCATAATTTACTTGTATACAAACTTCAACGATTTGGTCTAAATGGCCATTTCCTTAAATGGTTAAATTCATACCTAACTAATAGAATCCAGTCACTTAAATTGTCAAATCCATTTTCAGATTTTATTCATGTTTGCTCAGGTGTTCCACAGGGTTTGCACTTGGGACCTTTATTATTCATTATTTTCATTAATAATCCACCATCTGTTTTTAATTCGTTAGTTAATGTCTTAATGTTTGCGGATGACACTAAATTGTATTCAATTATTAATAATCAGAATGATGCAATTAATCTCCAAGAGAATTTAGACAGGTTTTCTACATGGTGTCACGAAAATATATTACCAGTAAATATTAATAAAGTAATGAAAACCACGACAATATTATAGACCCACACATAGGCGTAAATAGTGTTTGAATTTTTTTTTTTTGGGGGGGGGGTTCTCACTTGATAATCTTATGATGCTTTTAAATTATAGTAATGAAATCCTTAGGTTTTTTTAGGGGAGGTATAGAAATTCTAGGGCGGGTAAGTCCTAGACGTGCTCAACGACCACACTAAAATTCTACATTTGTGGTAGGCTAGACTAATTCTGCTTCGGACAGAGTAACGTATTTATACAGAATATCCCCAGCTTATGAGTACAAGGTTAGTGGCGGATCCAGGGCTTAATTTTGGGGTGGCATTAGGGTGCAAAAGTACAAAAATTGTGACGAATTTTAATTAAAATTTCAACAATTTATAATTTAAAATAATATTATACAATATTATATTTTGTACATTTCCAACACTTTCATTAAACAAATTCAAACAAATGCATACTTTTCTTTATTTTTAAAATATATATTTAATGAAAAATAATAATAATAAAAAAAATAATTATACACAAATTATAGGTAATTGTCCTACAAATAACTTTTACTCGTCAAAAAAACTAGTACAAAAATTATCTGCACTATTTGGAATAGGAGTTCTATGATTTTTTACGGGTTTGTTGGATAATTCCAAAATAAATTGAATCGATGATAGGATGTATAACGGAACTCTTATCTTCCATTTCTCTTATAATTTGAACCAAATCATATGATTAATTTTTTCAGTTGCTGATGAGTAGTGATATCGTAATTTTTTGGAAACTGATAGACTATACCATGACGAACCAAAAGAAGAAATGGTAAATCGGTTTGAGATTTTTCTATTTCTTGTAACTTTTTTGAAAATTGTGCACCATTTGCTGTTAGAAAATGAAAAACGTCGGAAACAATATTAAAGCAAATTAGTACAATAACTGTACTCATCAGATACAAGTGGTGCATTAATATAAAATACTACAATATTCTTTTAAATCCGTTTTAATAATATTCTTGTACAGTTTAACAGGTTTGAGATCGTCAGGATTGTAAAACAGAATCAGAGATATTAAACGATATTTTTATACCTCCACCGCATTTCCAAATGTTATTTCACACGTTGAATTTAGACAATTTTGTGTTCTCCAATTATAAAGCGATTCGTAATCCGATGAACTACCACTAAAAATGTCTTGTTCAAATTCTGGAGATGGTTGGTTAGACATCTTGAATATGATTAAAGATTCGTTATATTTTCCATCTGCATACATAGTACAATATTCTTCTTTGTTGACAAATATGTATACATATCAAATAGATACTAACTATATGCAAAAATCTTAATTAAATCATTTAACCCAATCCAGCATAAAACTGAACAAACACTCATAAAAGCCATTGATAATTTCTTAAATATTTTATATTCGGGTGAATTTTTAGCTTTGAAGTATCCAATTATAACCTTTTGGTGTACCTATAGGTTGATATATGCAAAGTAAAATACACAAAACAATAAACACAATCAATACAATTTTAGAAAAAACGACCAACTTACTTTTATAGGATTATTAGGAAATAGGAATGCATATACTAGATATTTCTTGGATACAATTATCTAGTAGATTTTGTATATAAGATACTATATTTGACATTTTTGAAACTGTTATGTTATCAAAAAAAGTTTTTGTAGCTAGCTTTCCATTTATGAAGAATCTTACATTTGGTTTGTGTGCAAAAGGTTACGTATACGTATCGTGAGGTACTAAACGATTCAGTCGCTATAAAATGGAAATACAAATATTTTTACTACTTAACCTAATCTACTCATAGGTCCATATATTATCATTTATCATTTATCAGTATAATACGTGGTAGACATATAATCAAATCAGGCATTTTATTTAATGCCTATAGGTAGTCAAATAGTCAAAGAATACAAATTTTAGTTAAATGCAATTTTATTTCATTTGAAAATGTCATTGTCTGTAAAAAATATAATAATTGTTAATTCATTTCTTATAGGTAATTTATTAAGCATAATAAACAAAATACAATCAAAATTATTATTATCAAGTAGGATAAATTAGTTCTCTTAATTTTAAATGAAAGATAGACTACTATATAGCTACTATCGAAATTGTGTATACGTATAAAGTATATCACTTCGGTGAGTAGTTCGGTAGGTATATATGAAAGCTTCGTCAGATGGCATTATTGCAGAAGACACACCTTGAATATATGTAATTTGTGTATATAACCATAAAATTCAAACATCTCTTACAAATGATCTTTTTTGCCAACTCCTATAAATCAATAATTATTAATTACACTATTCATACAATCACAATCTATAGATTTATACGAAAATATAAAATTTCGAATACATACAGTAGTTATAGTAATATAGCGTACTACAATTATAATTTTACGGAAATCATTAGTAATTATTACGAAGATTTAGTAGAACTGAGGCGGGGAATCACTCCCAATAGTTAAACTCTGTTTTTACTACACATAAACCACCCACAACCGGCACAACCTAATTTATCCATGGGAATGCACGGGATAATCTTATAATGGAGGGAGTATCCACGCAGTAGCTTTAACAAATTTACAAAATATACATAAAATAGGTAATATAGAAGAGCATTATCTGTGTCGTGGCGCATTTTGGAAAACTCAATTTGGATAATGAACTCCTGAGATATTTGATCGCCTAAATTAAACACGAGTTAGGTCCGCGTAGTAATTTAATAATACTCTAGTTCCGCAGTGAAACAAGTGTTTATTGCAATATTTTGATATAGTAATATAGTAATTTGATATACAATATTTTATATAACATATTATAATGTTGTTGATAACGGCATAACTGTAAATTTAAATTTCTTAATAATTATTAATAAAAGTTATACCTATTATAATGTAAATATTTATTATGGACAAAATTACAAAAACAATTGAATAGCAATGAATGTAAATACTAACTATGGACAAAAAAAAAAATTGCTACGTGTTAAATGTTAATAATTTTAATACAATTCAAATTTTAATAATTGTTTTAATATCATTACCTATCATAATTCATAGAAACATGTGTTGTCTCCGTCTTACACATGTAGAAAGCAATGAAAAAACTGTTTTTCGCAGGAAAGAATTGAGAAGGTTACGGTCATAAATCATAATTAAGAAACGAAATTTTGACCACATAAAAAGGAGAACTTTGGCTGTGAAATTGCGTTTTTATTTTTTCGATATCGAACCAATAAAAAAAGTTATTTAAGTTTGAATAACACAAAAAAATGGATTTTTAGACAATAAGAACTTTTTTGTATAAGTGATATCAAAATAATTAAAACTATAATTCACATATTATAATGTTCTTAACATTGTATATCCATTTGGAGTTCTAACTAATACTACAACCTGAGTGGTTCTACCTCGCCCAAAACAGAACTTACTATATTGTATATTTGTAAGACGGAGACAACAAATCCACATGCGAGTGTAACGGCCACTTATTTTTTAAATTAAACGACAAAGTTGCATCTCCTTTGATTTGTTTTACCAATTATTGGAATAATGTCATCAACATTTACTCCACGACCAACGTACGTGTCCAGACGTTCACAGCAAAATTAAAAGAAATATAATATTATTGATTATGAAACACCTAATCAAATATTTAGTAACGTTGTGTGGTACTATGGTATTTTGCAACAAGTTATTAGAACCTAAATAAGCGAATAGCGATTATCCGATTATAGGTTACGTATAACCCTCATACGGGTTGAGACTCATCTTTCCGTCGAACAATCTAACATGTCCGCCTATTTATTATTGTTTTTATATTTACTCAATAACAATACTTATATATTCTTAGAATTTTGGTGGAAATTATGATTTTACGAACAATTGGTGATGTAGTTTTAATGTATATAAATATACCTATAATAATATACCTATTATATCTAATATTTTTATCGTGTGATGCAACAATGATGTCGTATTTCGATATCGATATCGATATCAGACCAATTTTACCGATATCGATATGACAAAAATAATATTCGATATCGAAATACGACATCGCAGGTAAATATCCAACATTTTATCGATATCGAAAATTGATATCAATTCGTTGCAATTTGAAATTTCTATTTTCTATTTATATACGTTTTGATAGTAAATCAATATCTAAGAACGATTAAACACCATCGATAAGCAATACGATAAAGCTCTTACAATAGTACCTGTAATTTTAATTCAATTTAAATTTTTAAATTTTTGTTTATAATAATCAATAATATAATATGAAAACTTTTTTTATACTTTTTATTTACACTTTTTTAATGTAAGAAATACTAATTTCAAAAAAAAAACCTATTATATATAAAAATAAATTATATCGATATATCGTTTGTCGATATCGTTTGTTTTTCGATATCGTGATATGATATCGATATCGGTTCATTGATATCGATAACGGAAAATATATCGTTGTGCATCACTAGTAGGTATATTATATTAATTGTTAAATGAACACGAAGGATCTGATCTTGATATTTTTTGGGGGGGGGAGGTCATGACCCCCATGACCGCTCCCCCCCTGGATCAGAGCCTGCAAGAGCGTTCATTCGAACGTGTGTATTGTGTGAATGGCTATATTATAAGGAGGATGGGTGGAAATAAGTACCTACAACCGAGTAAAGAAAATATTACATACCAGCTTTGAACTAGTGACATTCATATTCGGCCGCTTGTCGTGAATAACCGGAGTAGTAACTTCTGATTCAGCAAAAGGTAATTTATTATCCAATAAGCTTATCTAATAACATTTAAAAAAAATATCATAAAATAGTGTAAAATTCATAAAAATAAAACAATAATACAATATACACACATCTGCGGAGCTGGTATCATCCTCAGTTAAGTCAAAGATGTATACTTCCTGCTGACTAGGAGGTGTAATATCGGTTGATGCGTATGAAGATTCGTCCGAGGTTGTCTAATCGAATTTAAAATATCCACAAAAAAAAGAATATTATATAATATATAATAGTAAGTATAATGGAACAATAAGGTGCAGCCAAATATTTTATATTTTATTTATTTATTTTGTAGTAATTATATGGCATCATTAGTGGTTTTAATAATCCGAAATAATTTAAGTTCTAAACAACTCTTTAAATAAGAATGGTGCAATATGTGACCTTTGAGATACACCAGGAAGCTACATTTAGAAAAACATAGGTATTATATATTATTTAACGTCATATTGCTAACTATTTTATATATTTATATATAACTATAAGAGAGACTAGCCGCATGGTCTATGAATGAATTGAATTACGAAAACCTATACGATTTAGTTTTGTTTATATTTTAAATATGCACATTATGTCTTATTATTATTAATAAAATATAAGAATAATATATACGTACTGCAAAGATTGAAGTATTATTATTGTCCATGGTCTGGTCTGGATCAAAATTCGGCGGGAATTACGTTGACAAATAACTATATATCTATATAGGTAAATCAAGTTTAAAATATTTTCTGACCAGTTTAGTTTAATATCTCGTGTTTAAAATCAAACTAATAATTATTTAATGAACTATATTTATAGGTATGAATTGACTTTGAAAAAAAAAGTATAATAATGTGTGATATATAGAGGGGGGGCAAAAAAGATAAATTGTTTGGATGTTTAAATGTTATGCTTACGATAATACGATCGTATTATATACAGATTATATAATAATATAATTAAGATGTGTCAACTGTACTTAGTGATGAATGACGATTGACTAGGCTTTCGTTATAGACTAATAGACTAATATAGGCACATGGATAGAAATATAGGACGCATTCATTGTATTCAAATGTGATCGAAGAGCATATACTATGGTTACCAAAGAGGTTACATGCAACCAAGCCGTAGACAGGACGTGGCTACATCATATTTTTATTTATGTAGTGGGAAATGGATTATTTGCAGTGTGACCAGTAATCACTGAATAAATCGTAAGTTATTAGGTGATAGGTAAAATATTTTATAGTATTTGTTATTCTAGAAAGTACTAATATTATACCTTTATACCAAATATACTATAATACCACTGTGACTATTGTAACTCAACTGAGTTTAATAACAATGAACTAAGTATGGTAATAAGTAATAACTAATGAGTTTATAAGTATGCACTAGATCACTGATGGGTGTCCAACGGTAATCTCAGAATTCAGATAGTCAGGTATAAATCTATGACCACGGATAATTTATCGATATTTACGGATTGTTTAAAAGTTAAAACACGTAGAGTAATATTTTATTACTCTGTGGATTACTTTCATTACTCTGTAAATAAACATCTATCTGAGATTAGTGAGATTCATGGACTCAAAAATGACCAGACAAATGTTTACGTGGTATTTTGCAAAATGAACCACATTGTCAGGGGCAATGCCATGGGGGCCTGTGAGTAAATCCACCCCTGCTAATATGGTCAGTTTTATGTTGCTTGCTTGCTAACATCCACTGTAAGCTCAAGAAAAAATTATATATACATATATGCGACTGACCAAAAAGGTTTAGTATTATTTACAAAGAAATATTAAGAAGTCAATAACTTTAAATATTTAGATAATATTTTTAAAATTAATTGCAAAAACAGACGAAGCTACCAAAAAATTTGAAATTTGCACACAAACAAATATTTATAGTACCTAACCATTTTTCAGTTTGATATACAAATGTTTTAGGACATAATTTTAAGTGTTAGGTTCACTGTATTATTTGTATTTCTTCAAAATGTACAAATCAGTGGGGGCGCCAAAGGCGTGACCGAGCGGATCATGGCCCGCCTTGAAATTTTGATTTAATAGTAAGTAATTTATTAGTTTAAGTATTTAAAATTAAAATATTATATTATACATGTATGGATCATTATTTTTTAATATTTAAAAAAAAAACACATCATATTAATATCAATAGGTCATCGCTCCGCTCAAAATCTAAAATGAGTAATTCAACAACAAAATATAAGGATGTGATTATTGATAATGATGTAATGATTCTCATTTCACAATAATAATAATAATAATAATAGATATTAATTAGTAATTACTAATTACCTGCGTCGAACGATAGTGGCTGCACGTGTCGATGCTGACAGCGGTGTCAGCTGGTAATAATATGGCAAATATTAATTAATTTACGGGTATAATTTATGATGCGGTAATTTCGACGCGCGTCAAATGAACGAGGACATGTATTGGACGAACGACAGTTGTGTCATTTCGACACATGTAATTTTAACGCCACCGGGCGAAAGACAATTTTGAGTTAAAACCACAGATATATACAATATATGTATAAGATAAGTTATTGTATATATCTGTGGTTAAAACAAAAATAAAATATAATAATATAATACCTACGTATCAGTCAATTTCAACTTAAAAACATGTTATCTGTATAGCTTTATATTTTGTATATAGTTAATCTATATTATGGTCACATATTATATCTATAAATCTAAAATTACTATGAATGGTACACATTTTATCATTATCTTTATTACCGTTAGCCGTTGAATTTTATTATTCTAAGACCATGATTGTACCTATACATATACATAAATACATGTGGCATGTGAAAAGGCGCAAAATACACGCTTAAAGTGCTTTATATCCCACAGCAAATTGTACGGTTTTCACGTAATAATAAATTTTAAAAAATAATCCAAAAACATGCTTTTGGAGTTTATAAAAAGTCAACGGGGAAATTATCTCCTTATTCATGTGAGATTTATTAATAGAAAAGTTTGAGAAGGCTAAGGAAAAGTTCTATGGAGATGCACAGTGGCGTAGACAAGGAGGGACGTGGGGGTCAGATCCCCCCATTGGCTTAGTAAAACGTTTTGAGAAGGTGGTTGATTTTCCAATTTTTCCCTCCCATTAGCTATGTCGATTTTTTTTTTTGATCCCCCTCCTCTTTCAGAAATCATGTCTACGCCACTGGAGATGCAACGAAATTAAAAATTGTCTGGGACCAGCGCAACAATGCTAGATACCTATATTATTTCTTTATGATTTTTTTTTGCATATTTTGACAACGTCACATTCAGAATTACGGAAAATAACCCAAAATTATATTATAATAATTGATTATAAATATTCTGCAGTACTATGTATCTGTGTCGGTCTTGCACACCCGACTACACGGCGATCTCCGGGGGCCCTTGGATATAGGATATTTTAATATATTTAAGGCCCATCCGAATGGGAAAAAAATAAAAATGGTATATTTCTTCTTTCCAGGACAGTAGGACACCCTTTTTTTTGGAATTTTTCTTTTTGAAACTTATGGAGTTATACTCTATATAATGACTATTTTAAGTTATTTAAAAATCCTCAAAATAATTTTAAGCGTTTTATGAATTTTCTTTTAGATCTTGGTAAAAGACTATTATACATTATATTATAGTATAAAACATACAAAAAACTGTACTATATTTATATAGTTTATCAGCATTATATTTATTTTTATTTTATATCTATTTAATATTTTAATCATTAAAAAGTACCTATTTTATGAAGTCTATAGCCTATATACATTATTTTAGTTATATTAACTGAAACAAATTTAACACAAAATAATTCTATCTAATAATTATATAATAATATTATTGTTATAGTTATGAATTTATGATATTAATTGTACATGGAAAATAAAATTAACTATTTAAAAAACTAGTAAAATTATTCTATAGTGCCTATACTGCCTATAGACTATAATACTATATTATATCGTATATATAATATCTAGTATAATTTATTACCGTAGTAAACTTGAATTTTCGACAAAGTAGTGACGTGCATGTCGCATGAATGCATGATGCAGATTCGTCGGCAATAGTGTTTTTACAAAATGCAAATATTATTCATGGTTGGGCTCATCGATCATGAGCATCGAGAACAACTAGGAGAGAACTGGGATATCACCAATGGCTATAGAAATATAATATCTTTGAAGTGAAAAAATAAATATATAATATCTGTAAAGTTAGCTTCTATATTCTATAGGTATACTTTTACAATGGAAATATAGATATATATTCATATTTATTTACATTATTCATCAATCATTAATGAAGAGTATTTTACTTTTAAACATTTGCCAAAAAAAATCATATATAAATTAATACAAACTTCTACATTTTAATTTAAATAGTACATAAATAAAAAGTTCTTCTAAAAAAACAAAATTAATGTTGTTAGAAAAATGTGCCAATTATAGTTGCTGTTTTTTGTCATGTTCAGAACATAATATCACTTTACTAAATACTAATTGAAAACATCATTGAGCAATATAGTCAAATATAGCAATATAAGTCAATTATCTTAATTTTTTTCTTGGTACCTATTAAAAACTTTTTAGAACATTTAAAAAAGTGGTAATATATTTTTTGTAGATATAAGGTGGTATTCAAAAGGAAATTAGGTACCACGATTAAAGATATTATACAGATTAAAGATTAAAGATATACAACGAAACTTATTTTTTGGTGCATTTAAAATTAACGATCTTGTCATAGCAAGAATAACAGTTAGCGCTTTTGCAATATAGTGATTTCTCTTGGTACTACAAAATATATCAAGTATTCTGTATTGGAGTGCTTTTTTCTAGTAGTTACTAGTTATTCTCACATCGTTGATCAGCTGTTAGAAACCGACATTTTCGAGCACCAAAAAATAAGGGTCGTTGAGTAACCTGTATAATATCTTTAATCGTGTCCGCCACTCATTGGTCACATAATATACCAAAGCATTGAAGATTGGAGAACCTACACATACAAAATGTGGGGATGCGCAAACGAGATTCAAATACGTATTGTTGCTGACATACCGCTATATTCATAGGCGGTACTATAGACCCTCTTGGCAGGGGGGGCAGAAAATATTTAAGCTATCTAACTATATGTTGGGAAGGGGGGGTCGTTAATGGGTGACTTCCCCTTCACCCCAATAAAACCCCTTCCAATTTACTCATTGAATAATTTTGTAAATAAAAAGGTGGGTAAGTGGATGTCGCTCTGCTGTACTGTAGGTTACAAGTGGGTCACTGTATAATGGATGGTATTAAATTTGAATGCAATGATATAATATCATTGTATTAGAAAAACGATTCTGAGTGGAGACGGTATGTCAGTCTAGGTATAAGACATATTATATACTTTTCTATGGTATTAAAATATTAAATTATATGGAATTTATGAATAAATTCCTTAAAATATGCACAGTCTTATCATGAGCATAATTGTTATTCCTTATACTATGGTAGATTGTATGGGTAGGCCATAATATTTAGATTTTTCAGTTTCATATATCCCCGAATAATATTTTTAAATTACAACAAAAACAAAGATCGTTAATATTGATTTTAATATGTAATTTCGTCCAAATTTGAATTTAAAATGTCTGTAAAAAATAACTGTGTTCATATATTTTTTAGATTTTTTGGTTACAGTATGAACTATTTATGAGAACCTTTGTTTTAAATTTTCAATCTTTAGCTATAAAAACTGAACATTTTATAATTTATTAATTACAATAATTGATAATTTTCGAGATTTTGTCAAAATTCGATGTTTAAATGCTTATAAAAAAAAATTGTGCCTATGTATTTTTAATATTTTTCAATTGCTACTGTAACAATATATCAGGAACCTTGTAAAAAAAAAATTTTGATACTTTTAGAGTTATTAAACCGAGTTTTAAGGAATTATGTATTAATACAGGTACGGTTCGCAGGAGGGGCAGTTGCCTACTCTGCCACCCCCGTAGTACCGCCTATGGCTATATTTTTAACTTTGTCATGACTGTTGTGCTGTGGCCTGCGCTATGACCAGTATGACCACGGACGTACATACAGCCATACGCCCATACAGGACGTCAGGACTGGTCACGAACCCTCTTTAGAAAATTAGTGTCACTGGACACTGTTGTGGGCCCACTGGACTATGCTGACATCTAGCGGATAATAAAGCAACTAGTCGTTTATTTCAAAATACATTTTATTTCCATCAACATTTATAATGTTATAATATTCTAATAATATTGTGTGTATCGTATATTATAGTATACGTCCATTTCAGTGTTAAAAATGAAAATGAAAATAATTAAATAATTTCGAAGTTAAATATAACACAAATAGATGGCGCAATGTGTATTTCTGTGGTCCCTAGCGTGACACTAATTTTCCACTGATAACGGCTCGTACCCCTTCCTGTATGTACATTGTACGTCCGTGGCTATGACTATTGATTTTTGACTTCAGAGTTCAGACACGGAGTACAGACAAGTACAGTACGTCAGTAGTCAGTACAGTCGTCGCTGTTGTTGCTGAGCAAGTAGTCGTCTGTCTGTTGGCTGTTGCCACGTTCACTTTTCATTGTTTTTGATCTCCCGAGTTTCCATAGTTATTTACCAACTTCGAGAAAAATAATAAACGTTATAGAACATCAAATTTCATACGTTTAAATCAACATATTATTCTAAGGTAATTATATAATAATATCAATGTGTTAAAATTTGTAAATTGTTTATAATATGCCTATCGGGCCATGTTCACTGTTGAGGGCTGCACCTCTCCCCATAATCAAACGATTTCGTTTGTCGATATTATATTATTGTTATTTCAAATAACTATTTCTTCGGAAAAATGTTAGTTTTACTACGTGTAAAGACGGATGTGGCCAGATACTGGATAGTATATTAGTGTCCAGTGGATACAACATCAGCCAGGGCCGCCGCCCGCCGCCATTTTGTTATTGTGTTGTACAATCGTAAGTTGCATAGTCATCCGGTCAAGGTCGTTTGGGTTTCCTTTGTCTCTGTGTTACTTTTATGTCGATTGTTATTCGCTGAATATTATATATTATATTATGTAATGGTTAAATCTTGTACGACACTACGACTGCTTATGCAATTTTGTAATTTTTAAATTGGTTCACACTAATCACAAGTTTTACAAAACTGTTGATGTGTATTAAGAGTCAAATCATCGTTGAAATTTTTTACATTCAAACTCCTTATTTTAGAATTATTATTTATTGTCTCATTAAAATTTTAGGTCTTGTGGAGTAGAAAGTTAGCTCCGTAGTGTTCAGTCCGGTTTGAATATTTTTATAAAAAACTTGCATAGCTGCAACTCTGTCACTATTCTCACAATTTTTTTTATAATAGCCGTTCATTTTCATGTTTCGGGACATGGTTAAAATTCTGTTCATTTAATTTTACCCACGGACTAGGATATTAACTAATATACTAACTATATCTTGGTCCTTGATTTCACCACAGAATAGGTTTGAAGAGTGTTAATTCTGATTTCACCTATTCTGTGGTTGTTGTAGACTATAAAAAAAAATTTGCTGGAAATATTGTGTGACCGCTGACCATGTATTGAACACTGTTGTGTGCTACTATGACCAATATATACATATATATATATATATTGTGACTAAGTTTTAATCTTCTCTAATTTATTTAATATAAATCTTTATATTTAGTTATTAAAGTTGTAAGTGTTTTTTACACTTAAATTTTCCAATTTATCAAATAAATTAGTATTGATTTTCGTTGTTATTGGTGTGTATCAAATTAAATCATATTACTTCCACAGGTTTTTTGCATTGCTTTTGCTAATTTAAATAGTCACTTTAAGTCACCTAAAAAAACAATTGGTTACTTTTTCATTTTTTTGTGTTGCAGCCCTATTTATTCCTTCTCGATTCTTAAGTCATAAGCATAACTATTAAAATCATAATATCATAATTCAATGTTTTTTTAAATTTAAATCAAATAAGATAGCGTTGGCCCCTCTGCAAACGTGCTAAATTCCCAGTTTTAAAATTTATTTTAATATATAAGAAACAATAAATTATAATTCCATGTACAGTAAATATTAAATAAATACCTATTAATACAACAATCGTAACTACGCACAGGTTTTGTTGAACATATTATAGTTGCCTTTTGTAGGAGGTCTTTGCCCTTATAGAAATTCAATTGTTCTTTTGTTCTTTGTTTTCGAGTTTGTTTTTGACATTATTACCAAGAAGTAAGATTAATACATTTTTGAGGAATATATATATTATAAAATGTTTAGAAATCTAGAGTGGAACTTGACAAGTAGGTACTTCTACCAATCATAAGGTTTCATAGATTTGAAATAGGTATTAAAATGGACATGTACCTATATTACAAAGTATAAACTTGTTTCGTTGAGTATTTTAACCTCATGATCAATTTTGTAAAAATGCCACTACATCAGTAATTCTATTAGCATTGTTGTTTGTATTTATTCAAGGCTTATTTCAAGGTTTTATTGGTAATGTTTCCATATTTAATACAACATTCACTATCATAACTATTCAACAGCTAATCAATGTTACAAAATTGCTAACAGTCTCTTTGATTTAAAATATTTATATAAAAAAATGAATTAGGCTAGTTATAATATTGTTACCACTTCTAGCCTTTAGATAATCAGTATACGCCATTAGGTATACATTTCAGTTCTTTTGTTATAATATAAATTATGATACTTCTTAACTTAAATCTATCATGTTATTCCAAAGTACAGTTTTAATAAATTATTTAAAAAACATAATAGGTTTTTATTTTAGGACAAATTATTGTCTTACTGAATGTTTTGTACTTAACATAAATGTAACCATTATTTATAACAAGGGTTCTTAACTCCGATTAGTGGCGTACCCAGCAAACATACATAGTCTACGTGATGTCTATGATAAATCTATACGTCTATAACATCTGCAATCTCTTGTATACTAATTATAGATGCATATAGAATGTCTATATTAATATGCAATTTTTGCATCTTTGGTTAGATCTATATTTGATAATTAGTTATAGATACACATAGATGTATCATAGATATCAGTAATTGAATCATTTTATGCGCTTGTTTAAATATATATTTATATATACAAGTAAATTTATTTATACGTCTTATTATTAGTTCGTAAAATTATACTTACAAACATATATATATATATATATATATATAGGGGTGGGCCTAGTTTGCTGCAGCCCCCCCAAAATTACAGTCTTTTTAAATAGAAAAACAATATATTTTATTAGGTACTATATGTATAAATTAAAATATTTTATAACCTGTTGAAAAATAACAAATACAAATATATTTATAGACACTGTTAAATATATAGTAGACAGTAGCCTCTAAGTAATAGATTGCTTGCTAGTGTCTACTATAGCCCTCCCCATAAACTATTTCTATAGACGCCACTGAATCCAAAGTAGTATTTTTTAAATTTTTTGTTTAAGATAAAATTATTAGATACCGACAATTTAAAATGTTTAAAACAATGTACCTATATTGCATTCACTTTCATAAATATTAAATTTTAAATAAATACACAATAATGCCCAATAAAATATAAATATCAGAAATAATGTTTTTAAAACAATTTAATGCCTCGCAGGTTAAGGTAAATTGGTTTATAATATCATTCAGGGATAAATTTAAATGTTGATAAGCGATGACTACCTGTATAAATTATTTTAACAAATGAAATTCGTACCTACATTAACATACAGTTTTAAAGAATATATTTAATATACTATTATTGATTTTTTTTTTTTTTCAGTCTCAAGATGCAAATCTTTGTGAAAACTCTTACTGGTAAAACCATCACTTTGGAAGTAGAATCATCAGACTCTATTGAAAATGTAAAAGCTAAAATTCAGGACAAGGAAGGAATCCCACCAGACCAACAGCGATTAATTTTTGCCGGAAAACAATTAGAAGATGGCCGTACATTATCTGACTACAATATTCAGAAAGAATCAACTCTTCACTTAGTACTCCGCCTTCGAGGTGGAATGCAAATCTTTGTGAAAACTCTTACTGGTAAAACCATCACTTTGGAAGTAGAATCGTCAGACTCTATTGAGAATGTAAAAGCTAAAATTCAGGACAAGGAAGGAATCCCACCAGATCAACAGCGATTAATTTTTGCCGGAAAACAATTAGAAGATGGCCGTACACTATCTGACTACAATATTCAGAAAGAATCAACTCTTCACTTAGTACTCCGTCTTCGAGGTGGAATGCAAATCTTTGTGAAAACTCTTACTGGCAAAACCATCACTTTAGAAGTAGAATCGTCAGACTCTATTGAAAATGTAAAAGCTAAAATTCAGGACAAAGAAGGAATCCCACCAGATCAACAGCGATTAATTTTCGCCGGAAAACAATTGGAAGATGGTCGTACACTATCTGATTACAATATTCAGAAAGAATCAACTCTTCACTTAGTACTCCGTCTTCGAGGTGGAATGCAAATCTTTGTGAAAACTCTTACTGGCAAAACCATCACTTTGGAAGTAGAATCGTCAGACTCTATTGAGAATGTAAAAGCTAAAATTCAGGACAAGGAAGGAATCCCACCAGATCAACAGCGATTAATTTTCGCCGGAAAACAATTAGAAGATGGCCGTACATTATCTGACTACAATATTCAGAAAGAATCAACTCTTCACTTAGTACTCCGCCTTCGAGGTGGAATGCAAATCTTTGTGAAAACTCTTACTGGTAAAACCATCACTTTGGAAGTAGAATCGTCAGACTCTATTGAGAATGTAAAAGCTAAAATTCAGGACAAGGAAGGAATCCCACCAGATCAACAGCGATTAATTTTTGCCGGAAAACAATTAGAAGATGGCCGTACACTATCTGACTACAATATTCAGAAAGAATCAACTCTTCACTTAGTACTCCGTCTTCGAGGTGGAATGCAAATCTTTGTGAAAACTCTTACTGGCAAAACCATCACTTTAGAAGTAGAATCGTCAGACTCTATTGAAAATGTAAAAGCTAAAATTCAGGACAAAGAAGGAATCCCACCAGATCAACAGCGATTAATTTTCGCCGGAAAACAATTGGAAGATGGTCGTACACTATCTGATTACAATATTCAGAAAGAATCAACTCTTCACTTAGTACTCCGTCTTCGAGGTGGAATGCAAATCTTTGTGAAAACTCTTACTGGCAAAACCATCACTTTAGAAGTAGAATCATCAGACTCTATTGAAAATGTGAAAGCTAAAATTCAGGACAAGGAAGGAATTCCACCAGACCAACAGCGATTAATTTTTGCCGGAAAACAATTAGAAGATGGCCGTACACTATCTGATTACAATATTCAGAAAGAATCAACTCTTCACTTAGTACTCCGTCTTCGAGGTGGAATGCAAATCTTTGTGAAAACTCTTACTGGTAAAACCATCACTTTAGAAGTAGAATCGTCAGACTCTATTGAAAATGTAAAAGCTAAAATTCAGGACAAAGAAGGAATTCCACCAGATCAACAGCGATTAATTTTTGCCGGAAAACAATTGGAAGATGGTCGTACTCTATCTGACTACAATATTCAGAAAGAATCAACTCTTCACTTAGTACTCCGTCTTCGAGGTGGAATGTAAATTTCTCATTCCAATAGCAATCTATCTTTAACGAAAACAACTGAAATGCTGTATAAAAGTTTACATTTTACTTGATCATAAGCCCTCGAGATAAAATAACGGTTTTTTGTAAAAATTATACAAACATTTAATCATAAATAATAAAATAAAATTCCATGTTTAATCATTTCACACTGGTTTACAAATGAATAATGATATTCCTATCAATATATAATTATTAATATACAGTGTCGCTGTAATACAAAAACTGGTAATGTCAACACTTTTATAATTTAAATTTAATAAAACTTTAAACAATTATGATATTAAGTTGTGCAAAAAGTCATACATTTATAAATGAAATTATAAGAATTTTTACTTACCACTTTTTACATTACGGTGGTGATACATACACACTACTACCTGTTTTGTTAATTCTACATTTGATCCAAAACTATTATATATTTTTCCTAATTTAAAATTTTAATATTAGCTATTTTAATTTCTCAATTGACACTGTGTATGATATAATAAATATATTCTTTATGTATTTATATACATGTGCTAGATAAGTCTAATTTACACACCATTATTTATAACTCATGGTACTATGTATGATACATCTTATAGTATTTAATTATGAATATACAGGTATTACCATAATGTAACAACATTTAAAGGTAACATAATATACTAATTTTATATACTTCACATAATACGGTGGTGTATAGCCGACCAACTGGCCGAGCATAATTTTGTTTCTGCCCTACATTTTAGGGTTATTATGACTCAATATTATGCATTGATATATCAATCATAATATACTGGTAATTGTTATTATAGCTAAATATCATGATCTGCTATAATTGTATGTTAATGGGGACATCTATAGAATGCCTTGATAGAGACAAGGCACTCTAGGGACATCGTATCCAATTTGTTGTCTCCATCTTACAAAAGTAAAATGTACGATTAGCAGTTCCAATTTTGTGTTGGCTTTAGTATTAGAATAAATTAACTGTGGTAATTTAGTCTAGAATATTATCTGCCTTCCCTCTTTGGTATTTATATTTAAATTTTTAAGCAAATTCAGTATTAGTTAAAAATTGTAAACAATCATCGAGAAAACACTGATAATGTTCTTCCCTTTAAATTTGACAAAATGTTAGTTCATCTAATATTGAAGCTAACAACAATAAATTTGAACTGCTGAATGCAAATCTGCCATGTTCTTGTAAAACAGAAAAAACACTGAACACATGAGTGTGGACGTCGTCTTAATTTATGAATTATTACAACAGTCACAATATTATATACCGCAGTGACTTCATCATTAAAAAAAAAAAAACCTAGTGAAGTTCTAAATCTGAAAAAAATATATATTATTATATTATACATAACCTAATATTATGTAGTACTTGTCATTTGAAGTAATTTTCTATACTAAGGTTTTGAGGGTGATTATAACATAATGTATCAATTTAAATTTTCCCTAAGTTATAACCAGCAGCACCGAATGAAATTAAAACTGGTAGGTCAAATTGTTTGATTGACCCACCCACCCCTTCAAACGTCTGAGAAACGAGCTTAACTAATTATATATAAATAATTTTATGGTATTACCGTGTTTAATAAAATTATAGTAGGAAGATAAAGTTACTCCTCTATTTTACTCACCTACCCAATTTTGAAGACTGTTTAGTTGAACTACCAGAGTGTTATGTGTTCAGTGCCACTATACAAGGCAAACCAATGAGTAAATAAGTAGTTTTAAAACAATTGTATTTATGATGAATAATAATTATAAAATATACCGTGTAATTTCTAATTCGTATTTAGTACATACATTTCTTAATATACACTTTACAAACATAATTTGTTACAATATTCTACTTTACAAACATTATTTGTTACAATATTCTACTTTACAAACATTATTTGTTACAATATTCTACTGTACAAAAAAACTGACGTCAATAGCAATAATTTGTATTATTTACCACATGAGTAATTTCTTTTCATAAAACTAATAAATGTTCAGTAAAAAATTGGTTTATTCTTAAATTGCATACAAATATAAATTCATCATAATTCTATTTATTGTCCATACTATGAATAATAAAAAAAAATATCCAACAATCATAAAATTAATTTAATTTAATTTAAAAAAGAAAGAGTTGTATCATACTATATCAATTGAACAATGAATAGTTATTTGTTGTTTAATGAACATCACACCTAACAAGTATCTATTATGTTGTAATAGTTACCTAATTGACGTGCGAAACGCAATACAATTGTGAAATATGTTTCAGGATTACTAGTCGGTACATAATTTAATAAGAGCAGTCAAAATTAAGCATGTAAAACATACTAAAAGTGGTCATCCAAATTGTTGTGTTCATGTGTTGATAATATAACTTCAAAATTATGAATTATTAAATAAATATAAAACAAAAATATGGATATTAGATATGTAAAATTATGATCAGGTTGACAAAAAAAATAGTACATTACATTGTAGTTAAGGAGAAGTTACTTTTCTTCACACCATTCATTCTCTTTACGAACTTGATCCTCTTCGGCAGCTGAGAAATCGTTTTTAATGTTGAATGTTTTCCTTATTTCCTCGGGAGTTTTTCCTTTGATCATATTAGCAACCGTCTTACACGTAACGTCCAACAAGCCTTTGATGTCCAAATAGTTGGCAGCCAATATGAGTTCAAATAGTGTACCCTGATCGACTTTCAGGAAATCTGCATCCCAGCTGGATATGTCGTCTGTACGCTTCTCGCGTCCCTCGTCATCCTCGGCTGCTGGTGGGTCGTCCTTGTGGTAGGTTGCCCATTGAATGACTTTCTTCAATATTCCAGGGTTTACGTTCGGCAATGGCACGTTTTCTTCGTCTTCCTCTTCTAAGCCCAAGTCCTCGACCATAGTTTTAATGGTCACCGATGCTTTGGCGATCTCGAAATCTACTTGGAACACTTCGCCATCCGAACTTTGCAATTTGATCATAGGCATCTTGAAGTAATTGTCTTCCTCGAATGATTAAGTGAGATTTATTAATTACTTTTCGATCGGATCGTTATTTTATTTTAAATGTTGTAATGTGAAAATTGTAATGCTGCATTGCTGTATAAAATAGTAAACACAAATACAAATATAAGTGTACAACAAATAACAATAACAATATTTTTATCTTATCCAGATCGGGATAACAAAAAAATCAGGTCAATTGTTGTTCTTGCTTAATGTCGTTTATCCGCTGTTGATCCACACCTGACTTTGAGACTTGAGTCTTTGGACTTTGAAGTCTTCGAATAATAGTTTCGGATTTTTTTTTTTTAATTTAAATTTAGTAGATTTAGTCATACCTAGATTAAAGTACACAATGTCATGTTGGTCAAAACTCAAAGCTCCTAGGGGTATACAGTGGCGAATTTTAGGGTGGCATGGGGCAATCATCCCCTTGGATTTTTAGATTCTGAGTGGAACGATGAATGTATTGATTTTACAATGATGTGTGTTTTTTTTTTATTTTTGTGTCTGTCATCACCTTTTAGGACTGTAAAAGTGCTTGGATTTTCTTCAACAGTATCTTTTCTGATAGGAAAGTGAATCAATTTGGTACTTTGGGGGGGGGGGGGGCAAAAGTAAATTTTTTCCAGTAGTTTTCAAAAGCGCCGTAAAAAACAAAAGAAAAATTAAGGAAAAACCGGGATTTTTACGCAAAATCTGTTTTCGAGAAAATCGATTTTGGTTTTTGGTGCAACTCTTAAACAAATGACCGTAGGTACATGAAATTTTGACTGAATGTTTATATTATTATAGCATTTTCTATACACCATAACATTTTCCAAATATTTTGACTTATTTTGAGCACTTTGGGGACATTTTCAGTTTATATTTTTTTTTCTAAAAATATCAATTAAATTTTATTTGTTGGTTAAAAAAGCTTGAAAATTTAATAGAAGGCTCCTAGTATATTGTTTCAAAGGCAGATAAAAAATATTAAAAATCCTTGGTCACAGTTTTTTTTTATAAGCATTTAAAGTTCAAAAATTGACAAAATATAGAAAAATCACGAAAATTAACAAATTATTTTGAGTTAAGAATTCGTAAAAATTTTTCTTTTTAAATCTAAGATTTTAAAATTGAATACAAGATTCCTTAGAAGATTATCTACCTTTATCAAAAAAAATGTCTATAAGAAAGTCAAATTAAATTTTTATGAGCGTTTGAAATTCAAATTTTTACAACATTGGATACTCGATTTCTCATGTAGCGATTTCCTTATTTTTGTTGTAATTCAAAAATGAATAACTGCTAGTTTTTTAGATTCTGAGTGAAACGATGAATGTATTGATTTTACAATGATGTGTGTTTTTTTATTTTTTTTTTTATTTTTTTTTTTATTTTTGTGTCTGTCATCACGTTTTAGGACAGTAAAAGTGCTTGGATTTTCTTCATCAGTAGCTTTTCTGATAGGAAAGTGAATCTAGTTGGTACTTTGGGGGGTCAAAAGTATAAATTTCCCAGTAGTTTTCACAAGCGCCGGGAAAAAACAACATAAAAATTAAGGAAAAACGGGAATTTTTACGCAAAATTGGTTTTCCAAAAAATCGATTTTGGTTTTTGGTGTAACTCTGAAACAAATGAACGTATATACATGAAATTTTCACTGGTTGTTTATATTTGCATTTTCTATACACGATAACATTTTCAAAATATTTTGATTTATTTTGAACTGTTTAGGGACATTTTCATTTTCCATTTTTTTTTAGTTTTTTTTCTAAAAATATCAATAAAATTTTATTTGTTGGTTGCGAAAGCTTGAAAATTTAATAGAAGGCTCCTAATATATTGCTTCAAAGGCAGATGAAAAATATTAAAAATCCTTAGTCACAATTTTTTTTTATAAGCATTTAAAGTTCAAAAATTGACAAAATATGGAAAAATCACGAAAATTAGCAAATTATTTTGAGTTAAGAATTCGTAAAAATTTTTCTTTTTAAATCTAAGATTTGAAAATGAAACACAAGATTCCTTATAAGATTATCTACCTTTATCAATAAAAAAATCTCTACCGGAAAGTCAAATTAAATTTTTATGAGCGTTTTAAATTCAAATTTTTACAACATTGGATTTTCACTCGATTTCTCATGTAGCGATTTCCTTATTTTGTTGTAATTCAAAAACGAATTATTGTAGATACATGAAAATTTCACTGAATGTTTATATTAGCATTTCCTATACACCATACAATTTTGAAAATATTTTGACTCTTTTTGAGCTGTTTACGGACATTTTCAGTTTTCAATTTTTTTAGTTTTTTTTTTTTATAATTGTCAATAAAATTTTATTTGGTGGGCCAAAAAGTCTGAAAATTTAATACAAGCTTTCTTATATATTGTTACAATATCAGTTGAAAAATTTTAAAAATACATAGGCACGATTTTTTTTATAAGCATTTAAAGTTGGAATTTTGACAAAATTTATCAAAATCTCGAAAATTATCAATCGTTGGAATTAAAAAATTATAAAATGTTCAGTTTTTATAACTAAGAGTTGAAAATTTAAAACAAAGATTCTCTTAAATAATTCATACTGTAACCAAAAATCTAAAAAATATATAAACACACTTATTTTGTACAGACATTTTAATTTCAAATTTAGACAAAATTTCATATTTAAACCAAGAATTACGATTTTAGTTATTTTGTTGTGATTGTATAATATTATTCGTGGGTACTTGAAATTTCTAAAGTAATCTACTATATATATCTATGATAGTATCAGGGTTTGTTGTTGGTGTATAACGCGTACCTAATGGATATTGTGATATGATTAATTTGGAATTCATTATAGGTCAATTTTTTTAATACCATAGATATGTATATAATATGTCTTATACCTAGAAGGACATACCGTCTCCGCTCAGAATCGTTTTTCTTATACAATGATATTATATCATTGAATTCAAATTTAATACCATCCATTATACAATGACCCACTTGTAACCTACTGTACAGCAGAGCGACACCCACTTGCCCACCTTTTTTTTCTATAAATATCAATCAAGTTTTTTCTATTGGACCAAAAAGTGTAAAAATTTAATTCAAGGCTCCTGATATATTGTTACAATATCAGTTGAAAAATATTAAAAATACATAGGCACAATTTTTTTTTATAAGCATTAAACATCGAATTTTGACAAAATTTATCAAAATCTCGAAAATTATCAATCATTGTAATTAATAAATTATAAAATGTTCAGTTTTTATAGCTAAGGATTGTAAATTTAAAACAAAGTTTCTCATAAATAGTTCATACTGTAACCAAAAATCTAAAAAATATATGAACACAGTTATTTTTGACAGACATTTGAAATTCAAATTTGGACGAAATTACATATTAAAATCAATATTAAGGGGTAGGTAACAAAGTACACGGAAAGTAAGATCAGCTAGTTAGGTATAAAATATTTACAAATTTACAATATATTAGATTATTACATACAAAATATGAAGGTTCTTTTATCTAATATATAATTTTTGTATGAAACTTTTATCCAACGACAAAATTAAAAGTGAGATATATTATTTACAAATGCATCGTAATGCACAGTCAAACGTTCCAATTAGTATTAATATTTAATCTTAATTGTAACTAACCTGACAAAATAAATAAATTATTTTAAGGATAGTCAATATAGTTAGTACTCAATTAAACTGAGAAATCATTATAATATATCATGTATTTATGTATCTTGTATTGTTTTTGTTAGAATAATAATTTAGATTTTTTTTAAATAGGTTATGACTCAATTATTATAATATATTATGTATATTGTTATATAATATATAAACCGGACATTTTAGGTTTAGGACCTATTTCCTGTCGAAGTAATATATTTATAGTCAACATTTATAATACACAAGTCGAAAAAATTGAATTTCGTCTTATCGAGGTTCCACTGTACATAAGTACCTTTCAATTGTGCACTATACCCGCATAAGGTATCTCCGTCTTACTAACTCATAACATAACAAATAGTACAGTCTGAAATCTGAATAATTAATAACTCCGTTATGTTTAATTTTAGAGTGAATTGAGCTATTTCTATTAAAAGTAAGAATATTATATAGCCAATGAAAGGTATTTATTATATTTTAGTTTTAAAGTGAGTTATGAGCATTTCATTTTTTTATTACATTGACTAGATTATATTCTTACTTCTAAATTTGGTAGTAGGTCAATTCTCTCTAAAATTAAACATAACAGAATTAAATAAATTATTCAGGACGAACAATTTGCTGTTATATTATGTTTGTAAGACAGTACAAGGCATACGAATAGTCTTCCTCTTAAGTACCTTATGCAGTTGTGCCTACAATAACTAATAAGTCATAAGAAACTAATATTAATATATTACTCAAACTATAGAATCCACGATCAATCTGTGGTACTATGTAGACATAATATGTAGAAAATAGATGTAGGTATAAAAAAAATTATACTTGTAATTGACGTAAAATTAATTTTTTAATTATTTTTTAAAAAATATTGACAGTTTCATATACCTATACTGGCTATACATGTATATTTTATTGTTAACTTACTGTGAATTTAACACATCAAAGTCATCAAAGCAAGCCCTGAAAATCTAACATTTCCTTGTTGATTCCTCAAAACAATTTTACTCAACTGGTTAAATTAATCATGGTGAAAAACTGTCAACAGTGTAGATATACATGCAATGGTTTAATTGAACCTGCAATTTCCTCATGGGCTCTGACCTAGGGGGCCTCTCCCCTATATACGCCACTGACAGTTTAAGAGGTATTTAATATTTATTGTTCTTATATTTATTTTCACATAAAAGTTTATTTAACTTTATAAATATATTTTTAAAGAGTTACACTAATTGACAAAAGCCAAGCAAACATTGATTGACATAAATCAGATCATGAATGTATAATTAGTAGAATGTTAGGTATAAATGTACAATAAAATAGGTATTTAGGTATATTGTACAATGATAATAAACGAATTACAATTTAAAATGTGACTTCTATTAGTTACATAGGTACATAATTAAAAGTTTTTTTTATTTATATATTTAAACTTTAATTATTTTAAATAGATTCAATTTAAGTTTCTCCTGTTGAAGGGTTCTTCATTCTGGAATACATGTCTTTTACCCTTTTCATCATTAGACATTGCATTTCCTTATTATTCATATACATGAAACAAAGTGTCATAAAAAATTGAAAACTTGAAATTTTTATAATCCAGTATTTTACTGCTGTCATTGAATTGTGGAAGCATCACTAGTTATAACACCTAATTATTTTCCTTATCTTCTAATTTTCAAATGTTATATGTTAATTCCAAAAATATAACAATTAGGTATCAATAATAAATATCTATATTTTTTTTAATTAACATTTTTTTATTAATAAAGAATATTATATTTACAATCTGTGTTAGAATAACACAATATTAAGCAAATTTGATAATTTAGGTACAATATTATACTTATAATAATAATGGCAATAAGTATGAATTGAAATATTAAATGTAATACTCATAATAGTATTTAATATTTATACAATAAACAATGAAAGTAGCCAGTAAGTAGGTAATTACTAATTATATTTAAATTTTAAATTTATAAAACACTTGCAGATAGTAGGTATACAATTAACTTTTTTTAGGTACATATAGGTATTGGGTAATTATAATTCACATAGGTTCTTAGTTTCTTACATTTGAAATTATAATAATTGTATTTTAAATATTTTAGTGATAATTTTTTTTGAAAGAAACATTATTTTTTTACTATAATGTTTAATTAAAAACATTTTTCATTGACCAATAAAAATAATTTTACATAATATATAGGTAAAATGTATTTTAACATAATTTAATTTTTTCATTAACAATATAGGTACAATGCATTTGTTTTAGAGTAATAATATTATTAATAATAAGAATTAAGTTATAACTTTAAGTACCTACCACTTACATATATTTTGCTTTTTTATTTAATATGATTTTGTATAAAAAAAAATTACTTATTTATTAACTAAAATAAATTATAAAATAGTGTCTTAAAAGCAGTATATACTTGGACAAAAATCTAATAATTAGATTTGAGTATTCAAAATATATAAAAAATATTATTTAATTATATCTGTTATTTTTTTAAGTACCTATTTACATAAAAGAATTTGTTTCATCTTGGGTTTTAGGAATCTGTAACTTATACAACCAATTTTTAGTCTGACCAGTTTTACGAGTACCTCCTAAGGTTTGTACATCACTTTTGTAGTACATATGACCGTAATTGTTATAATAAGGTATGAATCTTAAAAGATTTTTACCACATTCTAACATTTTACTTTCATCAGATGATGGCCCGCAGTAAAATATAATGACACCCAATGCGTCATCTGAGGATCTTGAATTTTTGTAATTGGTTGAACATTTCATACCTACAATTCCATTTAATTTACCTGCATCATACAAATTACAACTATTTTCCCACATTTGATCCAACTCTGACTTTTTAATAAACATCATCCACTTTCCCATTTCCATTTCCTCCATTTTACTATATTCTGCTTCCGCAATATCAGAATTCCTATGATGCAACCAACACTCATCATCTGTTTCAGTTGGTTTTTTTCTTTCAATAATTTCACTTCCATTTGCTATACATTGATTTGATATTTGAGGATTAGAAGTGACAACTTTACTCTGCGCTGACATAATTAGAAAATTACTGTTAATGATTTTTATAATATTTTTAAAACGAAACACTGCACTATATAGAGTTTGATATTTAACTAATTTGTATATTATTATTATTTTATTTTAATGTCATAATTTGTAAACATAAAACAGATTTTATTATTTCTTCAGACTTTCAGAGTTTCTCCTTATAAATTTAAGGCCGTGGTCTTTATTAGAGATGGGCGCAAAATCACGTCGCCGTTACTTTGTCACCGCGACAATCGTGTCGCTGTTAGTCACTGCGACAATTGCCCAAAATTAATGGTGACCAGCGACTTTGGTGACTAGACAGTGACTGCTGAGTACTGACTATAGTGACTGTGTTTTTAGAGGTTGGCACTGGTGTTAGATTAGTGTGAAACAGGCTGTTGTCGCGGTGACAAACTAAACAGCGACGTGATTTTACTCTAGCTATGATGGTTATTGGTCACTGAGTAACTTAAATATATATTGCGCAAAAAAAATGGTGACCAGTCACCATTAAAAGTCACGGTGACTTTAAAGTAGCTGTCACCATTGTCACGGTGACCAAATTTTGTCACTGTTAACCATCTCTAGTCTTTATGCCAGATGCCTGTAAAACTGATTAAATACTAAATAGTAAATAGACTGGCGATTGATGGTATTTCAAATTTTGATACCGGTATTTGATATTTGTTTACTACCGGTATCTACGGTATTACCAATTGTACCCTTGATATAGGTATTAAATATTTTACTATTTAGATACTTATTTTAGGTTCTGACCACGGACTAAGATATAATGGACTGGAAACGACAAGGTGGGCGGGTGACGGGGGACGGCCCGCAAAAGGTGTCTCTGTTATCATCAACACTCATAATCGAATGTTTTCAGCGCTACCAGTGGTTTTATTTTGCGTCACATTTTGTATCTCAGTCCATGTTTTATACAGAGGGCGCTGTAAACTCTCGATTATGGTTGCGACCCCCCGCATTTGCTTCTTGTACATACTTTCGAGGCCACTGATAAGCTGCTCGTTTCCAGTCCATTATATCTTAGTCCGTGGTTCTGACTTTCTGAGCGATGAATGTATTGATAATATGTGTTTTTAAATTTTTTTTGTGAGCGCCTCACGAGTCACGAGAGAATAATCACTTTTCAGTTTTCACGCATCACGAATGATTCGATTGGTAGTCGAGAACCACGTGATCACGCTATCACCGGGTGGTTGGTGGGGGATTCGCGAAGCCTAGATATTAGATATTTAGATAATAGAATCTATTGTCTATGGTCGTCGGAGACTCGGAGTGCGCCGTGCGGACTGCGGACTGATTATTCTCTCGTGACTCGTGAGTAGTGGGACTGAGTGTAGAAGATAACACCGCTGATTGATTGAAACATTTTTTTAATAGGTCTTAACTCTTGACTACATTAGCGTCTTGCATTTTTCATGCCCATCATTTTATTTACTACCTACCTATTAGGTAATTTTCTACTTTTGCAGTATTAGTTAATAGTCATTAGTTACTATTACCGAGTATATTTATTTAAAGAAATTGATTAAAAAAATTCAAAATAATTTCTTTTAGGTAACTTAACATTTAATTCAGTATTATTTAAATGAAATACAATATGGTAATGAAGGAGGGGTAGGTACAACAATATATTTTTGTTTTACGAATTCTTATAACTATTAATTTCTTAATTTATTATAGATTTATAGATATCATTTCAAATTGATTCTACTGTATTGTGAGTTGCTGGATATTTTATTCCTTGACCATGAATAATAATAGCAGTGTTATTGCTGGAAACTCAGTGGTTTTTTTGGATGTAGAAATTGCCCAAGAAAAAAGTGAGGAAAATGTTTAGTTAAATATCAATACATATTTGCAACGTTTCTTGATATTGTAATAAGTTTACTAGACTATTTGTTTTTATTTTTACAGTTGGACGAATTGTTATTGAATTATTTAATAATGTGGTACCTAAAACTGCTGAAAATTTTAGAGCTCTTTGTACGGGTGAAAAAGGTAATGGTTTATCAGGAAAGCCACTACATTTAAAAGGGTCATCGTTCCATCGAGGTATTATTAATTACATAGTATTTACTGAAAATAAGCTTACATAGGTACTTGATAATATGACATTATGCAAACAAGACTCAATATTCACAAACCCGTTAATTTCTATTAAATTAGGTACTTCCATTAAGTTTTTTCATATATTATATTGTACAACATACCTAATCAAGAATTTTTACTATGATTAATAAGTCTAATAATTAATATAGACAACTAGTATTACGCATTTAAATTTGTGTCTACTATATCCATAACTATGCAAGTTAATTAAAAAAATTGTATTTGTTATATTTCTAAACATTTTATTTGTATATTATAAACTGAACTGTAGATAAAATACGCATGGACACCTTTGTAAATATTTGAATTGCTATAGATTGAGCGACAATGTGATATTGTGACATACATTATTGTTGATCACGACTCATAAGGATCTAAAACGGCAAAAAATGGCCATCAGCTATACATTTTGTTTTGTTTATTATCAAATAATGGAATATTTGGTACTCGTCCAATATGCTATCTACCGTAATTTTATTTAGTATGATATCTACCGTATGACCGTATGTTGTATATTATGTATACTTTATCATTTTTCAATTAAGATTTAAGATTAAGCTTTTATTGAAACCCCAAATTATATTATATTTATAACTTAGTAAGTTAGGTAGGTTAGTAGGTATATCTTTATATTATACCTGTTTAGTGTGTGTTTGTGAGTCGTGTCGATTATACCTATACGTGGTTTTAATGTGATTTATTTATTATTATTTAATAATTATTATTATGAGTTTGTCAACTATGAGTTATTTATATCGACACATAATACAAAATGAAGAGATGTGCGAACATTTTTTAAGCATACGCGGTTTATTACCAATCGACCAAACATGTACAAAAATTAAAAACCAAACAATTTGTGGTGGCGAGTTAAAAAAAGTTCTGAAAAATAGTCGAAAACGTTATAATTGATGTACAAAAAAAGGGTGCCAAACATTTTATTCCATACGCAAAGTAAAGGTAGATAGCATACTAAACCATCGAACGTGCGGTAGATAGCATATTGGACGAGTACCGAATATTTATTCAAGTTAAATTATTTTTAATATTTATACATTTTATTCACAAAAAAATAATAGACTTCTTTAAATAAATAACAGAAATGTAACATTTAATTTATATTTATAGCTGTTCCAGAATTTATGATCCAGGGTGGTGACATTACTTCTGGTAATGGATCTGGCGGTGAAAGTATATATGGTTGGTTTTTTGAGGACGAAAACTTTGAACTACTGGTAAATTAAATTGATTTAAATCTGATTTGTATCTTATTGGAGATAGAATAGGTTTTATTATACAAAGACTGCAAATGCAGATTTAAATCATGGTTTTTATTAATTTTAACTAAGTAGTTAGATCAGTTTAATACTAGATTTTATATCATATTATATTAATATTTTCGATGATGTAATAAAATCTTATTTGTTTAATGTTTGGGTTTACTTCTCATTTTAGCATGAAGAACCTGGAGTTTTGAGTATGGCAAACACAGGCAATAAAAATACTAATAATTCCCAGTTTTTCATCACAACTGCTCCATGTTCACATTTGGATGGCAAGAATGTTGTTTTTGGAAAAGTAAAAAGAGGATTTTGTGTGGTTCAGACAATTTCTGCCACTACTACTAATGATAATGATGTCCCTATTAATGTAAGTACAATATTGATAATATGTATTCCTTTTACCAGTTAGGTTTTACCTATGTTCAGTTAATATATTTTTTGTATTCAAAATTATGAATTGTTTTGTTAAATACGAAAAGCATGTATCTATATTCTATAATATATACCAGCAGTCCCCACTATGATTTTGAAACGGGCCAAATATCAGTAAATTTAAATTTGCGCATAATATTGACCGAAGGTGTATTTTTCCCTTGAACACGGTCATAATTAATAATAATAATAATAATAATTGTTTATTCAAATGAATAAAACTGACTAACTGCTCTAATAGTACAAGTAAATAGATAGGTTATTACAATAAATTGATACAGAAATAGATACAATAACTTATACTCTTAAGAATAATAGGATAAAATATAAACTAAAACGATTGTAATAGTCAATTATTATGATATATTTTTGGTTAGAATTCAAGAAGAAAAATTAGATACCCAGTAGTTACGTATCAACCATAGACATGACATAAATTATAAAATATATTATGTCTATGGTACCAACTCACATCAAAGTTTATCTAGGTTATCTTAATACTTCTATATTTCGCTGGTATACGATATATGTAACTTCTTGTACGCTAAATATTGAACCAATATGTATCAATACACCTATGTCTTCCTTGAAAATCTTGCTGTTTTCATTAGCTGGATGTTGGAAACTCTAATTATAAATCAAAGTATTTTATAATTATTAATAGTTTTTTTTATGATTTTAGCCTTGTATAATCACAGATTGTGGTGAGCTACCAAGTGATAGTAATACTTGGAATATTAATGAAAATGATTCAACCAATGATGTTTTCCCCCCTTTCCCCGAGGATTGGACCATTCAGCCAGTTGATCTTGATGTAATTACTTAATATTATGCTCTAAATCGTTTTGTTTATTAAAATATACTTTTCTCAAGGTAATGCAAATCTGTGATGTACTAAATAAAATCAAAGAATCAGGAAACCAATTTTATAGCTGTAAAAATTATTCATGTGCTAGACAAAAATATGACAAAGTGTTACGATATTTTAAATGGTAAGTATTTAGAATGTTTTATATTATGTATCATAACTTAAATTTGTTATGTATATATTTTAATTTGTTATTATTTATTAAATTATTAAAATTAAATATTGTTAATTAATAATTATTATTGTTATTGTTATAACCTATTATTTCGATAGCGCTTCAATAATTTTTCGTTATATACTCAAATAATTATATATGCAAAGTAAGTTACTTATATTAGACCCGTATTTTACAGGTATAAAAGTTATCATAAAAATTCTAAAATGGATTTAAATATGCTGGAAACCATACAAACAAATACATTGTTAAATTTGTCCACTGTTCATTTGAAAGAGAAAAATTACAAAATGTCAATCGAATTATCAGAACAAGTAAATATTTTTAAAGAACTTATTATGAATTACGTTTATTGTATATATTATTATGTTAAAAAACTGGTTAAAAAAATCAAAAGTCTCTAGCAACTTTCTAACAACTTTTTAGCAACCAAGTATTTACTGTAAAATATTATAATCTATATTGGACCATTAAAGATACAAATTTTTTTTTTTTTTATTGAACAAAAATTTGATTTACAATCTATAATTAAATATATTACAGTAAGTAAATGTGATGGGGATGATTAATGGGAGGGGGAAATCACCCAATGGTGGCATCCCGCAGGATACAAATTTGTGTTTATTTATTTTTAACTAATTCAAAATTGCTTTTTATTACAGGTTTTAAACATAGATTGTAACAATGGAAAGGCTTTTTTTCGTCTTGGTAAGGCCTATAGATCACTCAATAGCTATGAAAAAGCAATTAAATATTACAATCAAGCTTTGGACATTTTTCCGGATGAAAAAAACATTTTAATTGAGTTAAAAAGTGTAAAACAAGCTCAAAAGCAATATATAGACAATGAAAGAATGCTTTACTCAAAAATGTTTTTATCATAGCAAGATAGGTTTTAGAAAATAATATAATGTACTATTAACTATTATGCATATTACTCAGAATATTGTATTTTAATATTGATGAAGTAAAGGTGGATTAAATTTTTATCATTTTGATATCAACTTATGTTAACTTTTTATACCTTAAAAATAGTATTTTATGCATTATTGTTATAGTTCTTGTTTAATTTTAAAATATTAGTGTCTGAACACTTAAATAACAAACATAAAACCCTTGAGAATCGTGATATAATTTTAAGAAATTTAATATTACTTGCACACATAAATAAATTTGTATTTACTATTTTACAAAAAAATGTGTACATTTTAGATATTATTACATTTCATATCTAAATTAGTAATAAAAAAATTAATTTATTGCATACTGTAAAAATAATTGGAATGCACATTTTTTTATACAGAATCATAGAAATTAATTAATTAATTTTATTTCAGACATAGTAAATTTGTATATTCTTTATTTATTTATTTTTTTTGATAGTATCAGTTTTTAAGATAATACTGATAAATATACCCTTTTTTACCTTTGTCTGTCCATTTTCAAGTCCCACTTACAAATTCTCTATTTGACTATTTGTCTCGCATATTTTAATTTCATCTTCCTATCTAAAACTTATATACTATATATCCCAGATGTTTTTTTCTTGTGTATATTCTTGCGCCATATGTGGTGCCTTATTTGGTATAAGATACCTGATATCCTCCAATTGAGATCTAGAGTAGTTACCTTATTTTAATTTCTTCTACAATGTTAGATTTTTAATTTTTAAATAACTGTTTGAGTTTCTCTTTTTTTTGAATCCTGATGTCCAAAATGTTTTTTTTTTTTAAATTAATAGATTATTTTGTGTGTTTCTACCTTGAATTTATCTAATTACAGGTTAGGTAAATTTATGAAATTAGTTTTTTCGATAATATTTTTGATTACAAAAATTTGCCCATCTCATAGAAACATATATTCTCAGTGTCAAGGTTTGTGCCTTCGATTTTTTCGTGTTTGTACTTATTTTTTATGTCATTAAATAACCCATCTACTTTTAAGTAAACTCCCTTACCCTTCAACATTTTTACTGGTCAAATTCTTTCTTAAACTGTATATTCTCTATTCTCTATTCTCTAGTAATTAATGCCATCTTTTTTTCTATAATCATGTAGGTACTAGGTACTTGAATACTCTGTATAAACTAATCACTGACCATTTTTCCTCAGTTTTCTTATTTTGTCTTTTAGTTTCTCTTCCGGTGTAGTTTAGTACTATGGCATTATTGTCGTCTAAAGCTCAGTTAACTCTTTGAGGGGCGAAAATTTCCTTTGGAAAAAAGCCCATGTGGGCAATATGTCTCTTTACCATAACATTTAGTACGTTATATCAAAATTATCAATACATTGATAATGATAATAAATGATGAAAAACGCGGGAAATAATATCAGACCAGCGGCAGTGATATTGTTTGATGCATGTATTAGACCCATAGACCTTATACTAGTATAAGGTCTATGATTAGACCTAAAAAACCTAACCTGAACGGTAAAAAAAAAATTGGTTAGCTTACTAACCACGGCCCCTCAAAGAGTTAAATAAAGTATAAAGAATAATGCACTCCCCCTGCCCTAATCCTGTAGTTACTTGGGTTCTCAGGGGGACTGTGTGTTTGTGTCTACTTCATAGGCACAATTTGGGAGTGGGGCTTGGAGGGGCTTAGATAATCTACAATAATAATCTACATACCTAATACAGTAAACATTGTTTGAAGAAAAAACACGGAAACATGGAAATAAGCCTGTGCACCAACATGATGTTAGATTATATTATAGCATACAAATACCTAAATATTGTTATTTGTTTTAATACAAATATTTTCAAGTCTTATTAATAAATGTATTATAATATATTAAATGTAGGAAAGTGGTTGAGAAAAATATTGTGGCATTTGAATAGGGGATGTGAGGGGCAGAGCCGCCCACGGGTCTGTTTCATTTAAATATGTTAAGCCCTCCAAGTTGAAAACTGAAATTGTGCCTACGGTCTACTGCATTATAATTTTATCTAAATGTTCGTGAGCGGCATAGACGAAAATCGTATGGTGGCTTAGCCTCTCTGAATACAGGGTGGGGCACTAAAACGGCCGATTTTGAAAATAGATTTTCTGAGTAGTAATTAAGATAAGAATTCTCAATAATATTGTTCTAAGACAAAATGCCATTTAGTATTTTAGTAAACACTAAACATGGAACAGTGGAGTGGTAAACAACGTGCTTATGCGATAAAATTGTTTTACAAAAATAATGACAGTTACGTAGCCGCACAGCCGTGCATTTCGTCTTCATTTCAATCTTAAACTCCATGAGTCGGTACCATCGGCTAAGGCTATTCAAATATGAATAATCAACTTTGAAGAAACGAGTTAAGCATTAAAAAAGAAGCCTGTACGACAAAAAACCATTCGCACACCTGAAAACGTCACTGCTGTCAGAGCCGTGTAGTGGAAAATATACGAAATAGGCTAGAAGAGTGTTTGAGAAGAGATGGCCATCATCTTGAAGACATCCTTTAAAAAAAAAATTGCAAGTTATGTACTTCATTATAATAAATAATAATTAATTTTTATTCGTTTTTTTATTTTATAATTTGTCTTAGAAAATCGGCCGTTATAGTGTCCCACCCTGTATATCAATAGCATCTGGATAGCATATGGATATTTTTCATGTAATAAAAATAATGATGGTTTGTTAATTAATGTTATAATTTCAGTAATTACCTTTTCCTAGTGTGGTGCGAGTCGTAGGTGCCAACCTTGATATAAGGAGTGCTGTCGGCGTAAACAATTACAATGATGTGTTTTTACTTTTTTTATTTTTTTTTTGTGTCCGTACACGATAAGTAGTCAAAATAATGCTTCAATTTTCAACTAAGTATCTTGTTGTCTTGGAAAATGAATATCGTCGGTGCATTGGGGAGGTCAAAAATTAAAATTCCCAGTAATTTTCAAAAGCGCCTATAAAAACAAAAGAAAAATTAAGGAAAAACGGGAATTTTTACGCAAAATAGATTTTTTATAAAATCGACTTTGGTTTTTGGTGTAACTTTAGAACAAACGACCGCAGGTACATGACATTTTCACTGGTTGTTTATATTTTCATTTTCTATACACACTACAATTTTCAAAATATTTTGATTTGTTTTGAACTGTTTAGGGACATTTTCGGTTTCCCATTTTATTAGTTTTTTTTTTTTCTATGAATATCAATAAAGTTTTATCTGTTGGGCCAAAAAGTGTAAAAATTTAATACAAGGCTCCTGATATATTGTTACAATAGCAATTGAAAAATATTAAAAATACATGGCCACAATTTCTTTTTATAAGCATTTAAAGATCGAGTTTTGACAAAATTTATCAAATTTAAAATTGAATAATTATTTTGTAGTTAAACATGTATAAAATGTTCGACTTTTATATCTAAGGATTGAAAATTTAAAACAAGATTCCACGTAAGTAGTTAATTCTGTTACCAAAAAATCTAAAAAATACATAAGCACAGTTTATTTTTTATACCTAGTCATATTAAGTTCAAATTTGGACGAAATTACATATAACTATTTTAGTTATTTTGTTGTGTTTGTATAATATTATTCGTGGGTACTTGAAACTTCTAACGTACACTATTTTATATCTATGATAGTATCAGGGTTTGTTGTTGATGTATAACGCGTTATAAGTACCTAATGGATATTGTGATAATATGATTAGGTAATTTTTAATGTATTATAGGTACAATTTTTTTTTTAATATCATAGATAAGTATATAATATGTCTTATACTCTTATACCTAGACTTATATACCGTCATATCGTTTTTCTTATACAATGATATTATATCATCCATTATACAGTGACCCACTTGTAACCTACTGTACAATAGTGTACAACAGAGCACCTTTTTAGGGTTCCGTACGGACGTAGGTACGGTAAAACGGAAGCCTATTCCTAAGGATCCGCTGTCTGTCTGTCCGTCCGTCCGTCCGTCCGTCCGTCGCCAGACTGTATCTCATAAACCATGAAAGTTAGAAATTTGACATTTTCACAGATTACCTATGTATTTCCTAGGATGGTAAAACAATACATTTTTTTTTTCGAGTTAATCGAGGGACGGAGGAGGAACCGCGTTAGCGTTACTTCGCCCAAAATATGCAATAGTGTCCTCTGCCCATCATCATAGGCAGTAGGCACAACTATAAAAAATAGACCAATATATTTAGGGGTGCAAAAATTATAAAGATTTCCTGTATAATTTCCCCCTAACACTATTAACAATAATTTCAAATGTATATTTATGTACTACCTGTATATTTTTAATATTTTTGTGGAACAGTAATAGGTAGTAAATACTAAATTGTGACTACTACATAATTTTTCGGCCAGTAAATTGTATTTATTTAATTTACTGATACCTACTTCAGACTTTCGGATGACGTGACCAACCTCTCCTATCTCAATTATACCCTATAATCAATAATGCCATTACAATTATTTTTATTCAGTTGAGTAAGTACTTTTTACTCCGACTGATTTGAAGTATAATTAGAATAGCTTTAAACAGGAAGACTTAAATCATTAATTTCTTGTGAAGTAGTTTTCTTGTGAGTAGTTTTAACCTTTCTGGGCCCATAACCTGTTGAAAGTGAAGCTTGACGGACTAATGATGTTAGCATTAATATAATAAGTAATAACACGACAATATGATTATGTATAAGTATAATATATAATAACGTACAACTGGACAATTAACCTGTGACTATACACACAGACGTACGATATCATTTCATACGGGAGAAATACGAAGAAGGACAATTCCAACTACAGTACATTGGAACAGAGGACCAGATTGCGGACATTCTAACTAAGCCTTTGGTTAAGGAACGATTCGAGAAGTTGCGGTCAGCCATAGGAGTGACTACAATTAAAGAAATTATTAATTGAGGGA